CCCCCCCCCCCCCCTCTACCACCACCACCATTTTTTTGTCCTTTAGTCATCGAGTTGTGTAAGAAGCGCAACTCCTCGCTTTATCCAGTGGGCTTGCGGTTTGTCGGAAGGAAGTCGACACTCCATCACGAAGTTGGTCGAGTGGCCAGTGGTCGATAGAACTCCCCGGCGATCGCTCGTCTTGTAGAGAGGGCATTCGTAGTGCGGGTAGTCTGTCATCTTTGAGAGTTCCTTTGGAATCATCCAAATGATCGGGGCACTCGTGTACAGTATTTTTGGCTGTGACTCGTTAAGGATATGCTTCTCCAGGTCCCAGCGTGCACCTTCCAGGAACATTCCGTAGACCAGGGCTCCATCGTCAGGCTTGGGTTGCGTTTCCAGCTGCACATTGACGGCGACAGAGACGAAGAATGATGACGACGTTTGTTCTCTTAGTTAGAATTAGAACAGCAGTACCACTTTTTTTGCAATGTAGTCTTTTTTATTTTTATTATTATTATTTATTTTTTTTGGTTGAAAAAGGAGCAACATTTATAAAGCTGTGCCGGGAACCGGGAACCGGGCCCGGCGTCCCTCATAAAGTTCCAGCTCTAAGGCTGAGCAAGGCTCTCCGGCCAAGCAAAGCCCAGGCCACGACTGTGGCAAGATTCTACTCCTTGTTCTCATCTGAATTCAATCCCTCAATTACCTAACAATATCCCTAAAACCAAATGTAACTATAGACTCTACTATGAACACTAATTTGGACACTCTAGAAGGACTGAACAAAAACGAAAGGGAACAAAAGGGGAGACCCTTGGGTGTTTAAAAAAAAAAACAAAAAAAACTATGATCACTTTCACAAGTTTTGTACAACCATGTATATTACAAGAAAAACTCTGAGAAGCACAGACAGGGTTGTTGCTGTGGCAAACATTCAATCGTGAACAGTCCCGAAAACTCAGTCCTACATTTGTTAAAATGCTGCATTGATTTCCGCGAGTGTCCTTTCCGTTGAACTCGATACTCCCAGTCAGCCAAAATAGTTTGCTTGATGGCAAATTTGATTTCAGCTCGAACCATCAGTGGTGTCAACCTCTCCCCTCTCCTAGTTGCTGAATTCCTCAAGTTCCAAAGAGTCCACAATATGGCTCCTCTCAGTGTCTCTTCTGCATATGCATATCGTCGGGAGGGACTCGAGGGAGGCATTGCTCTCGCTGCTGTTCCGAGTAGTAGAAAACGGTCCGTCCATCTTGAATTGTTACCAGGAACCGGGATATTCGTTCGTTGCCACCACTCCCAAAAAGGCCTGGAGACATCGCAGTGTGTTGCAGATCCTCCATTCGAGTTCCTGGGCATATCACGCATTCCAATCTTGCTTTGGTTGTTCGTTTAGAGCACCTTTTGGCCTGGTTCAGGTGAACAAGATTTGCTAGTCCCCATCAAGCAGCAACTTCACAAGAAGGTACGGAATTTTCCGCAAGGTTGGTTTCTTCTTGCCCATTCATGCATAGTCAAAAGAGGAAGACTGAGTAGGTCTAGATCGGTTCCGATACCGCATCCCTTAAACACCCTTGCATGACGCCCACTAATTAGGCGGTCCAAGCTCAATCAGCAATTATCTTGCTCAAGCTCATTGTCAAGCCATTCGGTTCTCAGTTAAAGCATTCACGTGTTTTCACTCCACCGATAGCATAATTTCAAAGAGGAGCGGGACATGATTCACTTGTCGCTTGAATGAGCCGCTCACAAACACACTGCCCCAACAGATCTTACAATATGAGGGTTAGCATGAGAAAAGGAAAGGCGGCAAATCGTGGAAGGGAGGAACAGCCAGATGCCTTATCTTGTTATTCGACTTTTCTCCCTCCTCGACGAAGCCTTGTCTACCCATCGACACCAACTACCAGGTTCCTCAGGCTTGCTCAATCAGCATGAGGGTTTATGTTCGAGTGAGCTCAATAAACAGACGGAGAGATCGCACAAAAATGAGTTTCATCTCGATCGTTGGTAAGCGGCCAATCCAATGTTCAAAGAAACTCAATGATAGACTGCTCAGCCGTCTTTTCCCGCGCAGCCAACAATCCAAACGTTTTGTTCACAGCAGTTATTCGACATGACATGAGATTTCCCTTCTCCTAACCCGTCATCACTCCTTCCCTTTTTCTCTGCTGTCGATTAAGCATTGTTAAACCACCAGTACCTGGCCCAGCTATCGGCCGCAGCGCTTCCCGTATACGCGCCACGCCATTTGGGCTTCGGCCTGCCGGACCGCATTGGCTGGAGGCCGCAGGCAAAACGAAAAAGAAAATTGCGACGGCGGTTCGGCAGGACTTGGCGCGCAGCGTGCTGGGAGGCTCGGATTCAATAGCTGAGCGAGGTACTGGTGGTTTAAGAACACATATGATGACCAGGCGTAGGGACGATTCAGTCAGAGTCAAACCGCTTCTACGAGACCGATCACCCCCCCCACGAGAAGCCGTGCAAGCCTTGACTCATCCCGCTTACACTAGCCACATGATACACAGGTTGGCACACTCGCGAAACAATTTTCATCCCAGAGAGTGAGAGTTAACACTGACTTCAGTCAGTAATTAGTGTTTTCCCGCGGGGATCATGTCCTTATTCAACCCCTTCTTCTGTTCAGTTTCTCCTAAGAATGCCGACTAGCTTCTCCCCCTCTCTCTATGTGTCTCATCTCTCCATCTTTTCTTAGCTAATTCACTCATCTCAGTCATCCAATAAGACCACTATAGTCTTGCACTGAGCCCGCGATCCGGAGCAAACGAGAGAGCGAGTCAACTAAAAAAAAGAAAAAAGAAAAAAAAAGGGGGGAAGCGACGCCTGCTGCAGGCTCATACGAGGGCTTCCTAGAGTTCAGACTCAAATAGACTGAGCCCCCAGTTCACGTATCACATTAGTCACTCTTCAGCCTGGAAGACGACGTGAGACAGCCAGATTATAGAGCGTTGCCTATGCTCAGTGCAGCGCGCTCAGCCCAGTTGGAAAGCTGAGCTTGGATACCAACTCAAGATCACTAATGGCTTATACACTGTTCTTCTTACTTATTTGGCCAACTCCTCAATCACTCACGTAGTTTCCCTACGGTTTGGCCAGGGCGAAGTCAACGAGTAGAGACAGGTGACGTCAACATGAAGGGCGCGTCCGTTCCCTCTCGTTTCACAGTCAAGTTGATGTCTCACAGTCCATAGCCTTTTTCGCGAAACTCCGTTAACTCTACTGGCGGCTCCATAAACGAGCCAGAGCAGCGTCACCAGCGGCGCTTCGTACGTGACTTTCTTTCCTCTGCAAACGATGCAAGCTTTCGAGTCGGCGACAAACGTCATCCACTATTAGTCCTACACACTGTGTCCATCACGATGGCCTGTCCTTGGCCACCACCTCCTGACACGGCCCTGATCTTGCGAAGCCCCTTTGCACGCACTTCACCATTGAGCTGGCTTTCTTCGTGTACCCTTCGCCGGTATGTATGCACTGGAGCGTTCCTTGACTGAGGTCGGGTTGATAGGCAAATGATGCATGATCGGAGAGAAGGCTGAAGATCCCTGGCCAGCGCTCGTCCTCGCTCCTACTTCTTCCCCCGCAGGGGCTGCTCTCTCTCTCTCTCTCTCACGCTGTCCTCCCTTTCCCCCATTGAGAACCCGACTTGTCACAATACTATCCACCCCGTGACGCCCGTCACCACGCGATCATCTCCATGCTAATCTTCTTCTTACTCACACATTCGGCCCCGCACACACGCACCGCACGGGTCTCATGCAGCCGTCCCCTCTCTAACCGCCCCGTGTCCTTTCGAGTTGTTCCCCTCGTCTCGTAGCCTAGCCCCTCTGGTCCTTCAGTCGCCGCGAGTTGGGCTCTGGGACGCTCTCCACGGGCTTGGTTGGCGGGTGGTCCATCCACCACTGATCCAACCCGTGCCAAGACCAGGCCTCCGCCACACTAACTTCGCTTTCTCCCCCTGAGTCTTGGTCCAGGTGGGCTTGCTCTCGTTCCACCGTGTCCGTTGAGGTTCCCCCCTCATGGTAGGCAACTGTCACCTGGACTTCAGCAGTGACTCCGTCTCTCATGCAGCACCTCTTAGCCCAGTCCTTCGCCTCAGTGACCGCCGCCTGCAGTTTTGAGTCACTTCTCATCTCCTCCTCTCTCGCCCCCTCTACGTTGATCTTCAACTTTGCCTCGCACCCCCCATCGTAATTCAGAATAACGGTTATCCAAGGCCCTTCCCCGGACATCGGCCTCCAGCGCGTCAGAAGGTTCCAACAATCCGGCCTATAGCCATGCAGCGCCATAGCCTCCAGTGCGTCAGAAGGTTCCAGCAATCCGGCCTATAGCCATGCAGCGCCATAGCCGTGCGCTTTTCGAAATAGCCCGAACTTTCCCCTTTAGATTACCCGCCCCGACACAGGGAAGTAGCCTGCATTCGTCTACTAGCCAGCAACGAGTAACGCAGTACTCCCTATTTTATAGGATTACTATGGGCTGCGTTCCCTGCGCTCTAAAGGAGGTATTCAATATTGCTTTCCAAAATTTTAGTAGGACAATAAAAACGAAGAAGAAAACAAAACGCCGAACCTCAACGGTCGCTTTTGGAGTGAAGTGCCCTGCAAGCCCGATGCAGGCAGTCCCATAATGGGATATCGGCGATCACCCTCCCCTCTTCAAAGAGGACCAAGTGGGCTACCCTTGATGAGTACCCGCGTCCGATGGCAAGGAGGGGGCTTATGACCCCCCGCAGGGGGTGATGAACCTCCTACCGACGCGGCCGCGGGTGCTCCCATTTTGGAGTCTTACGGCGCAACGCTTGACAGTCGCGCCTGCTGTAAATGGTATTCGAAGGGCCGGTCAGCCCAGGCCGCCAATTTGCAATTGAGGTTAAAAAACGATCCGTTTTTCTCCCTGCAGAACGAAAGGCAGACAAAATTCGAAAGGCATCTAATAAAAATAATAATAACTATAACAGGAAGAGAAAAGGGAAGTGAACTGCTCTAGCGCTCGACCTTTCTTTGCGTTTTTTTTTCTTTTGTTTTCTTTTTTCCTCCTTCCCTTACTTCCCATAACACGACTGGTGGCGCGCAGTTGAAAAGACCGTGCTGGTCCCCCTACGTTCGCGTCCCTGGACGAAGCCGGCGGCTACCACGGCCACAGGCCGGTCGTGCTCTGCTGTACAGCAGGGCGCCAAGCCTGCGTGGACCAATGGAAAGCCCAGTGGCGCACCCATCCTTTTGCCGGTGGTAGCGCCGACTGGACTGGTCCTACAGCGAAGTGTAGCCCAGGCGGACCCGAGATACCGTGAAGGCCTACGAGCGAGCATAGCATATATAAAGGTTAGGGAACAGGTCTTCAATGTGCAACGAAAGTGCGTGAGAAGGCACCTAATATGCACCGGAGCCTCCCTGACTAGACATCTGGTACACAATAGAGGTTGGTGAGCGTGCGCCTGGTACGCAGCGGAGGTAGGTGAGCGTGCGCCTGGTACGCAGCGGAGGTAGGTGAGCGTGCGCCTGGTACGCAGCGGAGGGCCGGGACAACGCACCCTCCGACACCGGGTGAGGAAATTGTTGAGGACGAGCCCGCTCCCTCTGAGGTCGTTCTTCAGCAGCAGAAGGACGTCTCCTCACGTCCACAACGCACTCGTCGACGCCCTCGGCGTCTCGACGACTGACACTCTCATCAGTTACCTATCTTCTACCACTAACACACACTATCACGTACTTCATCATCAGCTTCTACACGATGTTGGCATTTTGCGACTCTACTTCAACACCCACTCGAATCCTACTTCATCGACGTCATCGACCACCTCAACGACTTCAACTACCTTCTCGACTTCAGCTACTTTATCAACTTCATTTACTTTGGATGTGATTACTTCACACCACCACCCTACCTTGTGCATTCTTTTATATGTGTCGCATGATGGTTCTCACTTAGCTGGTTCTCCCTGAGCTGGACTCTCCCTTGGTATTGCATAGGCATTGGGACTGTAACGTTATCTTGGCTTCCCTGCTCCCATATCTGGCTTCCTCCCTAGTCGACGAGTTGTGTGCATGTTTCCCTCATCCACTACCCTCATCACCCTAGTGTCGGCCATTGCATGCCTTCAGTTAGGCATATCTCCACCCTATTCCAAGCTCCCCTTTCATGGTCAACCCTGCATGGTATCACCCATTTGTCGAGCATTATCCGCCCTGAGCCTGGTGACCTATCTCATCTTTGTGTGTGACTGACTGCCCTTAGGAGTTTTGACTCTTAGTGGTTCAGTAACACAACATTATTTTGTGACAGATTGCTACCTTTTCCTTTCAGCATTGAGGCAGTTGCCGCTAGGACTTTAAAATTGTACCCTGCTACATTTCGTTTCCTGCTGTTAGCTAGGATGTGTATATCAGACATTTGCTTTTCCCATGATATTATGTAGCTTAGGCTACATTGCATGGACTCCGCATGGAGCTTGCTCCGCATCCTAGATTTCTCAGCTTTATTGTTGAAGAGTTTCGCTGCTTTTGTGGAAGCCTGTTTATGGCTCTCGTGATCCACTGCAGGTCTGAGGATCGTGCCGCGTGCCTCTAGCTTCCTTGGCCTAGAGCCAGGGCTATCTGGCTATTTTGCCTGTTCGGCATGTGGGACCAGGCCATGGCCTAACCCCACAGGCCGTGTAGTCCTGCCCGGTACCACTGTTGGTAACAGGCCAGTTCAGTCTAGTCCAGTCAGTCCGTTGGGGGTATACCCCAGCTGCAGTTTGTTTTCAGGCTCATTCTTCATTTGCAAAGTTTGGAGCACGCGTGTGTTGAGTCTGCGTTGGAGCTGCGCTGTCCCTTCCAGCTCCAGCTCCAGCTCCCCCATCCTCATCCCTTAGTCTTGATTCTGGCGAACCGCCATCTCGGTGGGTCCGTCACAGGGTTCCTGGTGGTAGTTGGCTTTTGGTACTGTCTTGGAGTCGTTTTTGTCAGTTTTGCTATTCGTCTTGTATTTTTTGCTGCTCTAATGTTTGTGAACACAACTTTTATTTATTTATTTTTCAAAATCAAATGGCGTTGGCCGAGGCGGACACCTTCCACAAATTATCAGCGGCCTTTCGGCCCCTGAGGGGGTTTGGAATATAGTTTTCAACCAGCAATAGACACGTCTCGGTTAGCCCTCATCGACTGCGTCATTGCCCCAAGTGCAAAGATCCGAACACAACTTTGGTTGGGAGCATTTTCGGATTTTTGGCTGTTTCAGGTTTTGTCTGGTCTGGGCCAGATAGTTTCAGACTTCTCTTTTTGTCCTTTCGTGCCAGTTGGATACTGGGTCCCCACATTTTCGGCCTGAGATGTTTTCATCTGTACGTGGACTGGAGCAGGCGCTTGACTGTAGTGCCTGGCCCCTTGGTCTTGCCCTGCTGCTTCAGCAGGGCCGCTTGGATGTCTAGTAGGGGGACCCAGGCAGGCCGTTTTTAGGTTAGTCCTCTGGATCAGGACTTGGGCTTCCATTCAGGACCATCGATTGGAGATTATATCG